CAGTAGGATTTATATCAGATTTGCCAGTGCAGGTATATGGAAAGCATGTTTAAACTACTTTCTTTCATTTTCTGTCTTACCACTAATCCCATTCATCACTTATACAATCTACTTTTGTAGTTAGTGGAAGCATTTCATGCAACTCTAGAAGAAGTTGTGGAAGCTGATCTCCTTGTGGTATGACTAATTTCTTGTGCTTTCATTTGGGAACCAGGGACTATTTCAGGTTTTTCCACTTGTACATTTGAACTAGATTTGTTGATACACAATACAATGCGATAAAATTAAGTTCCTACTATTGATATATCTCTGGGCTTCTGTTCGGTATCCCACATCATCTGATATGATATGACATAGAATATATAAAACACAGTAGCAGAGAGATTAATATTGCTGGTGTGGGATTTGAACTAACACTGAAAGTGGCTCCCAATATGACACATCTAATAGATGTTTCTGTACCTTGCAGCATGTGTTGGATTGTACTGCTCCCAATCTAAATGAGCACCGTTCGACTGTATTCCAAGTTCTTGATCAAATTGGTGTATCAAAGGAAAAACTTGAAAACATGATTGAAGTTTGGAATAAGGTATTGCTAGTCTCTGCACTTGTACACTACCTTAAATAGAATGAAGATTAAAAAGAACTGCATCAATTCCACAGATTGACTATCAAGAGGAGGGCATGCATTTTGATGAGTGTGTTGATGACATTGAAGATGGTGAGGCTAGCAGTTTCTCAGGAGAAAAAGATGATATGGATTCTGAGCTCTCATCAGGAGCCGAAAATGATGAGGCTTTTGAAGCTATTGATGACCAAGAAGGTGATTACTCTGACGGTTGGTTGGCATCAGAAGATGTCGAAGATCCTTGGGGTGAAGGTGGGCCCCGTACGGGCTTGAAGACTATAGACGACCAACAAAGCGAGTGTCCAAAGGACTGGACAACAGAAAAGCAATTGCAGTTACAAGTTCAGTCTGGTCCACATGTTAGAACATCTGCTTTAATGGGAGTTGGGTTGCAAGAGTTGTTGGAACTCATTGATGAGAAGCTGAAGGAGGCCCCAAAGGCAAATGTTGTGGAAAGGGATCCATTTGATCGAAAATGGAGGCCTCCTCGGACAGAGGAGGCTGGCGTAGCAGTTGAACAATGATAAATGTGAATATACATTTTGTTCATGTATGCTATCATCGAGCAGCGCCATAGGATATATAGTTGGAATTCCCATTTACATGGGTCATCAACAATTATACAGGAGCTCTTCGAAAGTAGTGTTGGCCTGGCAAAATGTTCAGACAGTACTCTGAAGGTATTCAAGCACCTTGAGTTGGCTGTTTTCTCTTTTTGGAAAAGATTAGGCCGCAGTACTTGGGTATGATTTTTGTAGCAAAAACTCTTGTACCCACTTCTTAATTAGAAAAACCGAAAAACAAAACATGCCGACTCTGGGATGGTATTGTATAAAACAAATGAAACACTTTCACAATGGTTTGTTTCTCAAAGCTATTTGTATCTTGAAAGATGGCCTAATAAGTTAGCGTCTCTAGTGTTATTCTTTACATCCAATTCTTGGTGCGATTAGAAGTTGTCTTTTGGTAGCGTTTATCCGCCTTTCAGAAATTTTCTAGCACTTATTTGAATCTTTAGGGTAGCTCAAATAAGGATGATCATTATTATTTTTAATTTAGTGGTATTTTTCTTCTCAATTTTAAAGGAAGTTCAAAATTCAATTCCCCTTCCTCTTTGCAAAGCCTATTTCTCGTTTTGACTAAGAGAAATTTTATTTCATTTTTATAATTTAAATGATAGACAAAAACTTCCATATTCCTGTTTTATTGCCCCTCTCTTCCCGGCGGGGATAGAGAAGTATTTCTCCAAATGATATGGGTGATATGATTCTGGGCCCCATCCAAGCAACCTGGCCCAGACCAATCCATTGTGAGTTTGGCAAAAGGAAAACGAGGCCTGTTATGAAGAGCCTAAAAGTCCACAATACCCCTTACCATTCGCAAGCACAAGATCCCGCCGACACATGATCCCAATGCCGCGTGCGACAGCCATTCGTATATACAAGAAGGAAATACATAACGTACACTCGCACGCACTCGCCTATATGACATGTCTCATATCTCCGTTGGTCTCTTTTAGATTTCGCTCTGTTTTCAACTCTCTCTCTTTCTCTCTCAGCTAAAAGCAAACCCAAGATAAATTTTGTTTTTTCAAAAAAAATCAAAATCAAAATCAAAATTTGCAGATCTAAGATCCAAAAGCATTGCCATTGAGCAAATCCTCAATGTGGTGCTCTCTTTTGTGGTGATCTAAGGTAACTCCCGAATTCAATTGAATTTCTCGCTCGTTTCTTACATTGCTCTGTTATTGGCACTCTGTTTGTTTCGCGGGAAAAATGGGAACCAAACGAATTGGTTCCGCATTCATAACAGTATATGGATCTAGCTTCATTTTGTATATGTTTGTGGCCAATTTTCATTCGTATCTGTAAATTGTGTTTTCTGAAAGCAGTGTACAGTATTTTCGGATTCGTTGCCTGTGAAGAAAGAGCAGCCATGTCAAGGAGGGCGGTGGGATCCACACGCCGCAATGGAAACTTTCCGTTTGCTGGAGCCTTCAATTCAAAATCCAAGTCGTCCCCTTTGCTATCCATTGGCCTTGTAGTTGTGGTGAGTTTTCTTGGATTCAAATTTCATTTCCTTTGTATGCCAATTCATTGCAATTCAGTTTGTGCTGCTGAGTGCGTAGCTCCTTTATCATTTTAAACAATAGAACGGATTATGAGTTTCTAATTATGTTTTGTTGGTTTTTGGTTGAAATTCTCAGGGAGCGATCCTAATTGTCGGCTATGTTTATAAGGGCTTAGGTTTGTATTTTAATTGCTTGCATTAACAGCCCCTATTTACATTTACTGATATGGAGTTTTTTAAATTTTGGTGAGCTAGCTGGACAATGCTTTTTCGGAGGTCATTGATTCTTTGAATTCTTACACATGTATGCGCCTATTAATGTTTGTTCTTAAAAATTCAGGTGGCTTCGGAGGGGGTGCCAACGTAGTTAGTAGAGTTGAAGGTGAGTTTGGGGCCTTTTTCTGCTTGTCTTGTCAGGTTCATGTTCAAGTGTTAGCAATTAGTATTCTTCAGATACTTGTAATAATAGTGTTTGCCCATTTCCTTCTATAATTAGGCGATTTTTCATGCACGCTAGAAGTTCAGAGAGCAATACCTTTCCTAAAGAAAGCGTATAGTGGCAGTATGCACAAAGTTTTGCATATTGGCCCTGATACTTGTTCAGTTGTGTCTGCACTGTTAAAAGATGACGAAATTGAAGCATGGGGTGTGGAACCATATGAGATAGAGGATGCTGATAGGAATTGCAGGAATCTTGTGCGCAAAGGCATTGTGCGTGTGGCTGATATAAAGTTCCCTCTACCCTATAAAGCAAAGTCTTTTTCTCTTGTGATAGTGTCAGATGCATTAGATTACCTCTCCCCAAAGTACCTGAACAGGACTCTTCCAGAATTGGCAAGGGTTTCTTCCGATGGTCTTGTTATTTTTTCAGGTACTTTACTATAAAGTTCATATAGCTTGTGCAGTGTCAGGGTTTGTTACTAGAAATTCTTTTCCTGAAATGATTAGAAGTTCATATGAGATAATTGCACTGTTATCAAAAGATTCACATTAATTAATTGCACTCCAGTACTTCTCTTTTGGTTGATTCATCGGGTTAAAATGAATTTAGAGATGTTTAGCTATTTTAATCCTTGCAGATACATACAGACACCAGTCAATTGCATTGATCCTAAGTGGATTAAGTCAATATGTTAATTTATACGGCCCTTGGCTTTAGATCTCTTACTAAAGATACTGGACCGGAGATATCCTGATACTAAGTCTTTCTGACCATAATTATTTACCGTTAATGTTTTGAGGTTCTTTATTCCCATAGAAAGTAATAAATTTCTCTTAATCTTTTGCTTTTGTTAATAATCATTTCTAATTTCACTGCTATTACTTTTATGTTTAGGTTTCCCTGGTCAACAGAGAGCTAAAGTTTCTGAGTTATCCAAATTTGGACGCCCGGTAAGTGCTCTGCCCGTGTGATGTCATCATGCTACTTTGCAGTTGTTGGATTACTACTCTTACCCATCTGGATATGATATGTACTGTAAATTGGATGGTCATTACTCCTGATGCTTATCATTTGCTTGAGATCAAATTTCAACCAAAATCATATCCAAGTGGATAAGTTGTTTGTTGACAAATGGAGGGGCTATATAAAGCTGGGTCCTGATCCTTATGTTAAACTTGGAAATAATGAAAGGAGATGTAACTTTTATGATCACTCTATTATAATTTGGTTTTAGTTATAGAAGCTTTAATAATAATCATCAAGTTTGTATCTGCCTGATTGACCTTCTGACTGAGATATCTTTGTTTCCTTTAGGCCAAAATGCGGAGCTCCTCTTGGTGGATACGTTACTTTGTTCAGACCAGCTTAGAAGAAAATGAAGTTGCCATCAAGAAGTTTGAGCAGGTCACAACAAAGGAGTCATACCAGCCAAGCTGTCAAGTGTTTCACCTTAACTCATATCACTAATTATAAAAATCATAGCATCTTTTATTCATTAAGTTTTGGTATGCCACAAGGCTGATAAAGGGAAAAGATTGTTGTAGCTGTCATTTAAAAACAAGACCTCTACTGGGTTGTTTTGGTATAGGGTGATTTGTATTCCGCCTCAAACTGATTTGTATTCCTTTTGATTATAATGATTGTATCCAGGAATTGATTTTCCTACTGTCTTTGTTTTTTGAATCATTCGATTCCGCCTCATCACTAGCAATTTTGTTACAACCGTACTTGAACAGGATTTGTGGTATTAGGTTGTGCTCTGTCCTTGAGTTCTGAGGAGACATGAACCTAATTCTGGTAGATGAATTGTGACCATGTTATCAGAGCATGATTAGAAGTTATCGAGTATTTGTAGCTGCATGAAAAGAAAAAGAACATCCATTTTAAAGTTTCTTGATCAGAAGAAGTCTAATATGACCTAGCTGATTCTATCTTTTGACTTCTATCTCGTTAAAAGTAGGGATGTGTTACACAAAAATCAGGACCAATAATCAATTCCTATAAACTTGCCCCAAGGTAGGAATTTGATGATGTCTTTTGCCTGGTTAGAGACTCGGAGCCATGAATCTAATGCATCTTCCATTGAAAAGCCAATCGCTTGGTTTCCTTGAAAAGTCATTCATGTCATGCTTGTAGAAGCCGATCTTCATTTGCTGCCAAAAGAGAACTGAAATTCACTAGCAGAAATATCACCAATAATCCCCACAAGAACAATGCCCTTCCTTAAAGCAATGAAACCTGTGGGCATCTCTCACAGTGATTTCCCTCCCAGCAATGGCAGAGATAAATTTGATTGCATTGTGGCAATCCCCACAAATCCTCAGGTTCTTCACCACAAGTATAGGCTCTCCCTCTCTAGTCGAGATCAACCCAAACGCAACAGCTAGCTTTTCACTGTGATGCCCCAACCGTATCTCCTTCTCTCCTTGCACTGATTCATCGTCCTTTACCAAGGTCCATCTTAAATCAGGTACATACCCCGCTCGCTTCATCTTCCTTGACATCTCTTCCAAGTATTCATGAATATCTTTAATCATCGGGTGGGAAATTTCTTCAGCCACGAAAACGTGTACCCTCTTATTCACCTCAATCCAACTACAACCTGGTTTTTTCTTCACTCCTCTATCTCGCATAAGTTTTCTAATTGTTGCTACTTCTTCCCATTTTCCATCTCTAGCATACATATTTGACAGCATCACATATGGAGCAGCATTTGAAGGATCCAGTTGAAGAAACTGATTGGCTGCCTTCACTGCTAGTTCAATATTTCCATGTGTTCTACATGCACCGAGTAATGTAGCCCAGCCAACAGAGCCAGGGCTGAATGGCATCGTCTCAATGAGTCTTTCAGCTTCATCCAGTTTGCCTGCTCGACCTAGAAGATCAATCATGCATGAATAATGCTCCGCTTCTGGTTCAATCTTGAACTTCTCCTTCATCATATTGAAATACTTCTGACCCTCCTCAACTTTTCCAGTGTGAGCACAAGCAGAAAGGACAGAGATAAAGGTTATACTTGAAGGAACAATATCCATCTGAAGCATATGTTCAAAAAGCCGTAGTGATTCCACTCCGATCCCATGCTGTGCATAACCTGCAATCATCGAATTTAAAGAGACAGTATTATGCTCTGGCATCCTATCAAATAACCTTCTTCCATCATGAAGATTCCCGCATTTGGAGTACATTGTAACAAGAGCATTATTCACTGAAACTTTATTAGAAGGGATATCAGATTTGATTGCTAAGGCATGAATCTGCTTCCCCTGGGAGGGAGATGACAAATTGGAGCATGCACTAATCACACAGACGAAGCTGCAATCATCAGCACAGTGACCAACACGTTGCATTTGACGGAAACAATCTAGAGCATCTTCAGAGAACTCATCATTTTGAGAATACCCAGAAATCATTGTGTTCCAAAGAACCAAATCCGGATAAGGAATCTCTTCAAATAATTTCCTACAATCTGACATGCCACCAGCAGCACACTTGGAATATAAATCGATCAGGCCACTCCCAACATGTGAATTCTGGTGGAAACCAGTTTTGATCAACTTAGCATGGAACTGAAGTCCACCCAACAAGTCCTCCACACACGTAAATGCAGTTAAAACACTTGCCAATGTAAACATGTCGACCTTAAATCCCCTCCTGACCATTTCCTGAAACAATGCCAGGGCTTTCAACCCTTGGCGGTGCTGGCCATATGCCACAATCATGGAATTCCAAGACACTTCATCTCTTACCTCTCCCATGACATAGAACACCCTCTTCGCCTCCTCCAAAAACCCATTTTTACTATAGTAAGTTACAAGCGCATTGTTTACAGAAATATATGAATCAAAACCACCTGACACCGCCACCGAATGCAACTGCCTAATCAAACCAATATCATCACAACAACCCGTGATCACAGCAGAGATGGTAAACCCATCCATGTCAAGACCCATGTTTCTCATCCCAGTAAACAAACTCAACGCCGGTTCAGTCTCGCCGCGATCGGCATAAGCAGAAATGAGGGTGTTATAGGAGACCAAGTCCGGATGGGGGATTTTATCAAACATTTGGTGGGCAATGTGGGTATGGGACTCTTTTGCATACGCAGCGACGATAGCATTGAAGGAGAAGACATTGGGTTCTTGGGTCTGGTCGAAGGCGTTCCGAGCAGAGGAGAGACGGCCACATTTGGAGTAAAGGAGGATGAAGTGGTTGGAAAGGTATGTGGAAGGAGGAAGGAGGGACTTGAAATATAGTGCATGGAGAGCTTTGCCTGTAAAGAGGTCTCTCTCGGCTATGCATGTTTTCAAAAGGTGGCGAAAGTTTTGCAAGGCACATGATAGCTGGTTCATCTAAGCCGGCTATAAGACTAGTTCCTTCCCATGTTTAGACCCTTCAGGACTGCAAGCCAAAATGAAAGGGTTAAAAAATAATTTTGGTCGATGTCTTTAGTTTGGGGCTTCTGTTTAGTTTCTGTCTTTTTTATCTAACTTAATTTTTTTACAAGCTGATGTTTTAAGCTATGTACGTGTAGGGGAATTAAATTCGAGAATCGGGTGTAGTCAACTGATTTAACTCACATCTACCACTTCATATTTTGTCAAACTTATGTTAATTTTAATCATAACTTTTTTAATTTATGATAAGAGCTAGTGGGTGAATATCAGTAGAGCCAAGTGGCGATGATCGGTAGAGCTAGTCTTGCATCATTCTTTAATGTCAACATCTAGTAGAGCCTCTTTGCAATTCAATGTCTATTAAATCTTGATGTTCATGTAATTAACTAATTGCATTATGCTTAAGGATCATATATTTGAAACAAATTTTGACATAATTTTTGAGTCATTAAATTATTCCACTTTTAATGAATGAAATTAAACCTTATGACATAAATAAATTATTTAAAATAATTTTCTCTCTCATCTATCAATTTTCTCCAAAAGGTAAATTTCTCTCAGCAAAGTAATTTTCCTCTCTCCTTTTTCCAACACCCAACAGACTCTCTCTCTCTAGGGTTTTACTTTCACCACATCGCGTGTTGTACCATTGCCTCTACTGCACTTTTCCTATGGTTTGTACACTACACACACACACACACTCTCTCTCTCTCTCTCTCTCTCTTGCTTTAACCGCTCGAAGTTTTGTCTCTTGATCTTCTAATGAGATTCGAAGAATTGTAGAATAATTATGAAGATTTTTGTTTGCTGTAGTACTATTTTCATTTTTGTCGAAGACAATTTCATTCCAAATGCTAGAGATAAAAAAGGAAACACAGCCGGACTGAAAACAAAGAAAGCTGAAGACAAAACAAGCCCAGCAAGCAAGAAACAAACTAACTAAAAAAATCCTACATATTAGGTGAAAAGTTCCAATTTTTCTTTGGTTTTCGTCTTTTTTTTAAATTTAAAAAAAAAAAAAAGAAGCTAATTTGGGTTACCTTCTAATAAGCTTGGATATCATGATGAAGAAGAATGATATCCAAATAATATTTTGAATTTGCACAAACTTCCAATTTACAAGTTTTTCTTTTTACAAGCTTATCATATTTTGAATGATATCCAAGTTTTTCTTTAAGGCTTGAGAAATGATGGTAAAATTGATTCGCATAACTCCAATTTACAAGTTTTTCTTTTTACAAGATCAGGGCGATACATTCTTATGTGTTAAGGCTTTTAATGGCTTGGTTCAAAGTTTGGAGTTTCAGAAATGAAGCTACACAAAGCAAATATAAAATTGCCAACATCTAGTCCTCACTCATCTTTGTTGAAAGAGAAGATTAAAATCCCTAAATCCAAAACCCAAAAATTCAGAAACATGAACAACAATATGAACGAAAGATAGAAAGATCAACACGTTTGTTTTTTTGTCTGATGAAAGAAAGTGTTAGCAGAAAACGTGATAGGGAAGAGAAAGAGGACAGAGAGAAAAAATTCTTTTGTGAGAGAAATTTAACTTTCCGAGAAAATAAAGAGAAGAGAGAGAAAAATACTTTAATTATTTTTTATGTAAAACAATTATATCAGATTTAATCTCATCCATTAAAAGTGGAATAATCTAATGGCTCAAAAATTGTGTCAAAACTTGTGTAAAAAATATGGTGTCACGGATCCACCACCATGAATATTTTAAAGAGAAAAAGAAACAAATGAATTTCATATTTTAAATCTATAGCAAAGTTTTATTTATTTATTGAAATTGTTCTTAATTCTCTAGCAAGATTTATTTTTTGGGTTTCAAATTAACTCACTTGTGATAATGAATTTCATCTAATATTTACTCGCTACATAATTTAAATCAGAATAACTAATAGAATTCTTTCAAAGCTGAACTAAGTACCATATTTGAAACTCAGTTAAAATCATGTGCTTAAAAAACTGATAACAAAAGGGGAGCTTTATTCTTTTCAGTCAACTGTAAGGAAATGAGCGTTGAACTCAAAAAACTGAGTTAATTGACAATCTACTTAGGTACGTATTATATATCCGTTGACATATATGTTGCTGGACAATCTAAACACCATACATATTTTTTTTTTGGGTACAATTACGTAGCAATTCAATTAAGAGATAAGTCATATACGCATTTTAGCACTAATGATATAGATAAACACTACACTATTTAATTTCTATAAATAAACCCAAAAAATGACAACTGGCCTTATTGAATTTAATTTTGATTATTAAAT